GGGTCTCCTGCCTTGGGCAGGGGGTTGGACTAGATGACCTCCAAGATCCCTTCCAACCCTATGACGATTCTCTGACTCTTTGATCTGTTCTCTGTCATCCCAGAGTGCAGGATGCGTGATGATGGGCTCAAGCTACAGGAGGCCAGATTTAGGCTGAATATCAGGAAAATACTTCCTAACTCTTAGAGCAGTACGACGAAGGAGCCCATGAAGTTGGCAGGCGTTGAGCGCTGGAGGGTTTCAAGAGAAGATTCAGACAACCGCTTGGCTGATATCCTTTGACTTGGATTCCTGCCTTGAGCAGGGGGTTAGACTCGATGGCCTTTGAGAGCCTTTTTCAGCTCCATTATGGTAGGATTCCCTATTATCGGAAGGCCCTCCAGATGTTCTTGAACTTCAACTCCCAGAAATCCTGGCCAGCAGAGGTGGTGCTGAAGGCTTCTGGGAGTTGAAGTCCAAGAACATCTGGAGGCCCAAGGTTGGACAAGCGTACAGTACAGCAAGAGGACATTGTTCGGGCATCTTTGCTTGCCCATGTTCTCTAAGGTTTAACTACCGACTCCACACACCAAATCTGGGGCATTTATTCTAGAGGCATGACAATCAGGACAGAACTCTGGAGGCCCAAGGTTGGACAAGCCTGCTGTACAGCAAGAGGACATTGTTCGGGCATCTTTGCTTGCCCACGTTCTCTAAGGTTTAACTACCGACTCCACACACCAAATCTGGGGTATTTATTCTAGAGGCATGACAATCCAGGGAGGACAGAACTGACCGACAACTCACTCACTGGCTCAAGCCCAAAGTGTTTGAAGCCATCTGGAGTCCTGAGTCCACCGGAAGGAGAGCAGGGGCAAAAATCAATTTCAAAAGGCAAAATCAAAAATCAATTTCTTTGGAGAAATGCTGCCAGAGAAGAGCTTTGCTGATACAGTAGGACTCCGATATCCATGGGATCAGTTTCCACCAATTCACATCCACAGTCTGAAAATATTTAAAATATTAAAAGAAAAACGCTAGAAATATTTCTCAAGATGAAGTTAGCACAACTAGCCACTAGAGGGAGCCAGAGACCATGCTAGGTACAGCATTCACTAGCATTCATCTGCATTATAACCATAGGCGGGAGTGGGGAGGATTTGAAACCGATACCCCATGGCTATGGGGGTCCTACTGTATTATGGACCCTAAGAAAGACAAACAATTATGTCCTTGATGAAATCAAAAGGGTCTCCAGTTGCTGATGTTCAAGATCTGAAAGCATGAAGTTTCACAAATGGAGTCTGGAATGGGAGAAACACGAACCAATGTAGATTGGAAATCACAAAAAGAAGAGCGGCTGAACGTGGAATGATTCGTGTGAATGAACTTAAGGCGAGAGAAATAGGAATTGTCACTCTCCAATTGTCATTCTCAGCCACACTAGACGCTGCTCCAAG